CTAAAAAAAAAGAAAGGAAAAAGTGTTTCCATTTATTACAGTCGACTTTATAAATGATTGAAGCTCTTTCGAAAAATACAAAAAATAAAAATCTAACATAAACGTTCGATCGCAATAATATAATTAGTTATTATAAAAATAAAATAAGCCGAAGAATTGTTTTAAAATGAATCGAAAGCGTTCAAAGATACACTTGCATCGCCACACAGAAAAAAAGCAAAAAACTTTTGGTTTTATATTTATATATATATATAATATATAATATATATGTAATTAAGATGTCAAAAGGAGAATGAAAGGAACAAGAACAAAAATTAAATCCAATAAAAATAATGACAGAAAAAATATAAAGAGAAGGAGAGAGAGAGGGAGAGAAAGAGAGAGAAGAAGAAGCAGAAGCAGAAGAAGAAGGAATGAGAGAAAGAGAAAGAGAGAGAGAAAGAACATTTTTATAAATTATTCGAATTTAAGTTAAAATCGAAAAGATGTTGCATTTGCAATATAAAAATAATGATTATTAGATACAACGATTTAGAAATAACAAATAAACAATTTTATTTTCAAGGTCCTTGTAATTTCCTTCTTTCTTCACATTTATTTTATTTTATTTTTTTATTATAAGACGACGACGAGAGATTGTAACATGAATCGATTGGACACGTTTCATTTTGTTAGATACTTATGTTCATTCTCTTCTCTCTCTTTCTCTTTCTCTTTCTCTTTCTATCTGTCTGTCTGTCTGTCTGTCTCTCTCTCTCTTTATTTCTTTCTCTCTATTTTAACTTGTTCCATCGTCTTTGCTTGGAAACTCCGTTGGTGGTGATATTGGTTGTGTCTTCCAGCAAATATCTCGCGAATAGATGAATGACAAAAGAAAAGTTCACAAAAAAAGTAAAAAACAAAAAGAATGAAAGAAAAAAAAAACACCTAAAACAACCCAATTTTTTCTCTTTCTTTCACTTTCCTTTTCTTCTTTTTAAATTTTGTTTTTTTCGTGCATTGACGTTAGATAATAGTAGCAGTAGCAGTAGTAGTAGTAGTAGTAGTAGTAGTAGTAGAAGTAGCAGTAGTAATAGCAGTAATAATAGTAATAGTAGTAGTAATAGTCGTCGTTGTCGTCGTCATAGAAAATGAATTGTTTTTTTTTAGTTATTGTTATTAAATGTCGTTTTTAAATGGGGTTTCTTTTCATCATCATCATTGATCGGGACTTACCGCTCCGGGATAGGAGACAGGGGTGGAAGCGTGAAGGGCAAGGGGCCCCACGAGGGCAGGGGGCATCTTGTTGTGTATCGCACTCCCAGCTGATACTATCTGGGCGCTCGACATGCTCGACATTGTCTGGAGAGCCTTCTCCTTGGCGGCATGATCCTGACAAATTTCCACACCACGTATTAACTACTACGTATTGTCGAAAAATTATTAAACCCCGTGATTTTTTTCTTTTTTTTTCTTTTTTGTATCAGGGGTAAAAGACCAAAGTATCGCAAGTTTGTTTCTACCATAAGTAAATTGATGTATCTTTTAACTTGTTTATATTTTTCTCTCTCTCTTTTATCCTTGTTATTTCATTCTTGATTATACGTGTCGTGTTTTATATTTTGCATTGTCAAATATTGGCCCGATAGATAAATGTCTTTTTTATTTTTTTTTTTTGTGGAGGAATAAATTTTATGAGGATATTATTTCTTTTTTTTTTGTTTTGCTATATTAAGAGTGTAGATTAATATTATAATTTTATGCATACAATTTATTATAATTTATTTTAATGTTAATCTATTCGTTAGAATGTATTATAATTATTATACTTTTATAGATGCCTCTTCTGGGCTGGCTCGCCGAAATATTTTCAATATTTTATTTTGAAAAATTCTAATCTCTCCCTTCAAATTTAATTGTGGATATCGATTAAATAATTTTTTCTTCTTTTTTTTTGTCTCCTTTTTATCAAGTTATGCACAGCGTTATCATTGCAGTTGATTGGAATGAACGACGACGACGAATGCGAATTAGCTAACGATAGAAATTTACCATTAATTTCGGGTTCGATGATTTTCGTACGAGGGATCTCGATTTTAATCATGGTCGACTAAAATAGCTGACGAATTAAACGACTGAAATGAGAGAAAGAGAAAGAGAGAAAGAGAGAAAGAAAGAAAGAGAGAAAGAGAGAGAGAGAAAAGCATGATAGTCATAGTGTTCGAAAAACTGCCATTCCCCCAAAACAGGGATTTTCAATTTCGTTCATAAATCCATAATAGAGGACTCGATGTTGGCGTTTGGTGCTTGGAATAAAAGCGTGTTCTATAAAAGGTAGACACGAAACACGAAGAATTCATCGATCGTGCCCATCGACGAAAATTCAACCCCCCTTCCTCCCCCTCCTACCCCTCTCCACTTCCTCTTCTGAATTTTACTACATATATATATATATATATTTCAAACGCTTATTTCGGTTCCAAATGAAATAGATTTTTAACAAAAACAAAACACGATGCAAAAAAAAAACAAAAACAAAAAAACGAAAGAAATTAAAAATACGAAATAAATAAAACCCATAAAAAAGGACAATCGAACGAGGAACGAACGAATGTGAACAAACGAACAGACGAATAACCGAGAGAGACAGATATACGTACACATTGATAAAACGAATGAGAAAGAAAGAGAGAAAGGGAGAGAGAGGGAGAAAAAAAAATAAAGTTTTCAACGTACAGGGGTTTGTCCCCGGGCAAAGTATAACGTTAAACGACGAGGCATCTCGCATAAATACCTTCGTGAAAGCTCGAATGCCGATAGCAAACAAAAAATCTGCCTCTCTTTCTCTTCCATCTCTTTCTCCCTCTCTCTCTCTTCCCAAACTCGATGCCGTTGGCCACCGGCCGCGAACGGTTTATAGTGGAAAATCAATTCGGTTAATTGAGAGGGAGTCGGCGTGCAGAGCTTTTTTTTAATTTCTACCCTCTGCTAACGGCGCAACTCGTAGCGTGCCCCTTCCCTTCCCCTTAAAGCCCCTTCCCTCATCTACCAAGCTCAACACCCCCGGCAGTCCGTTCGTTCGTCCGTCCATCCGTCCATCCGTTCTCATCCCTGTCCTCGACCAGCCTGGTCCACTACTCCTCCACCCTTCACAACCCTCCCCCTGTCCTCCTCATCCCGCGCGTACAACCTTCCTTCCATCCTTCCTTCCTTCCTTCCTACCCCTCTCTCCCCCATCCTCCTCCTCCACCACCTCCACCACCTCGTGCGCATCTCTCCCAAATACACGCGAGGAATGCGGGATTGGATGGGCAACGAGCTGGACATGTTTATCGACATTCTGAAATGCCGTACGGTCGTTTTTGGGCATCCCGCCATCCGAAGCTACGTTTACACAGCAACGATCAATTAGACTAGAATGCGCGCACACACCCATGTGTGTGCTGCTTGCTCCTGCTATTATTTTCGGAACAGATAGGACGAAAAATTGAAACACACCGAACCGTGGTGGTTTAGCGCTGCGCGAATTTCTCTCCTCCCTTTCTCTTTCTYTATCCCTCTCTCTCTCTATATATACATATATATGTCTATCTCTATCTCTATATCTGCCTCCTTCTCTCTCACTTTTTCTGTATACGCTTTTACATCTCCACCCTTTTTTTTTTTTTTATATTTTTTTCCAACAGGGTTTTTATTCCGCCCCACGGAAAATACGGATTTTCATAGCGCGTACTCGCCGAGCCACGATTTTGGAATTAAAGGTACCACCAAAGGTCCCTTTTATGTGCTCTTTATTTTCTTTCACAAGCAAATTAGCTGTTTAACGTTATGCCATCGTGCAATTACTACAAAGAGAATTTGAAAAAGAGAGAGAGAGAGAGAGAGAGAGAGAGAGAGAGAGAGAGAGAGAGTGAGAAAGAACGAAGTTAAATAGAAAAGAGAAATAATGATGAGAATACGAGCAAGAGAAGAGAAGGAAGAAGAAGAGAGAAAGAGAGAGAGAGAGAGAGAGAGAGAGAAAGGGAATATGAAAATATAGTTCGTACGAGTATTATAACGAAAAGAATTTAAATAAATCACATGAGTAAATTATTCTTCCTTTATCTTTTTTTTTTTTTTTGTTAACGTTGAATTTGGTCTGTAGCCTAAAAAATTCCTTTTGCGGTAGAAGGTTCTCGGAAACTGAGGAAACTTTAAGTATAAAGAGAAAGATATACCATATATACATATATATGTTACGTGTAATGTAGAATATGTATAATAAGTAATTATTCCACAAATAGTCAGAAAGCTTTCGATCGATCTATAAAATATGTTTCAGTTAACTGTGTTTGGTAGAGCAGGAGGAGTGGGGAAAGGGATAAAAATCTCAAGTTATTATAAGCGAAACTAACCACGACAGATTGCTAAAGAACAGAAAGACACAAGGAGACAGCGAATGTTCCGAAAATAAACGATCTAGGATAGTTAATCTGTTGTCAAGCTGAGAGAGTGTCACTGTTCTTTGCCTTAGCTGCAATAAATGATCCTTCGTTATGATCTCGTTGTCTCCTTGTCTTTCCCTTATATTAGCTTGAGATTTTACCCCATCCCCTCTAGCCCTGTATTTTAAACGCAACCAATTGAAGCACATTTTATAAATTGATCAAAATCCTTTGGTCATAAAATGGCACTTAAATACAATTCCAACATTATACACATCATTTATATATATATATATATGTATATATAGAAAGAGAGGAAGAAAGGTCTTCAATGTTGTAGTAACGAAATGGTCGAAATGGTAAAGGGTCGGTTACTCGGCCCTTTTCGGAAACGCGGCGAGCAGAAAATTACATCCGTCGTACTTTAGACGTTACAAACTCCTCCTCCTCCTCCTCCTTCTCCTGTTCACCCCCTTGATCTCCCACCTCTTTCGTGGTGTTGCTGACTCTCTCCACTCGAATAATGTTCAAGGTATGCGTAAGTGTGGCTATGGTTTGCCCGTTGTTCGCGACGCTTTCATCCTAAAATGCAGTGTGTGTCGAATAGAACTTGCAAGCATTTTACTCACGAATCACTAATTAGAATCGAAAGGATGTGTTTCCTCCTCCTCTCTTTACTTCTCTACACACTTCTATCTCTCTCTTTCTCTTCTCTTCTGTCTATTCGTCATTCATACATTCATTAATTAACGCTTTGAACGTTTAATACGCCTACGAGTAATCGATAATGATACGTAGTACCATTTCAAAGTTGGTTAATTAATTTTCAAAAGATATTTCCTTTTACTTACAAACGTTCAATTAAATATTATATTCGATCCGATTATGTTATAGGGGGAAAAAAAATATAAATAAAATAAAATAAAATAAAAAGATTAATCTCGAAGAAGAATTTGTATATTTTTCTATAATTTTTTTTTCTTTCTCTCTCTCTCTCTCTCTTTCTCTTTTAATAAACATAATATCTCACGTGATAATTTCAAACGAAAATTGCAACGTGGTAAATAACTTGCAAGTTGTTTTTCCCCCTACGAATAATCGTTAATTACAATCGACAGGATATATCTTTTCCCTTCCCCTCCTTCCACTTATCAACAACTCGTCATTCGGTCATTAATTAACGCTTTGAAAGCTTTAATACGCCTACAACTAATCGATAATGATACGTAATACTCTCTTTCTCTCTCTGTCTATGAAGTTTATTCATTATCTAAAGAACCGTACATTTATACAAATGTCTAATTATACAACAAAAACAAAAGATAGATTACTAATATAAACAATGATCATAGTTATAATATTTCTTATCAATCATTGACTATTCTATCAACTATTTACTAATAAAAAGAAAAATCAAAAACTAAATAATAATATCATTTAACAGTTAACCGTATTCCTTTCTCATATACTCATCTATACCCAACATAATTCGCTTTCTCCGTGTTCTTCCATTTTCCCCTCGTTCTACGTTTGTTTCCCCTCCCTTTCAACCCCTCGTCCTCCTTCTCCCACCTCTTCTACTATATCTCCGCCGTCGAACGGAAGCACGGAATGAATCGTACTTTGATTTATTAACAGGGATGATAGGAGGGAGAAAAACAGAGCAAGAGAGAGAGAGAGAGAGAGAGAGAGAGAGAGAGAGAGAGAGGGAGAGAGAGAGAAAGTGTGGAGTGGACGCAGAAACGCGTGCTTCGTATCGTATCGTATCGTATCGTTTCGTTTCGTTTCGTTTCGAATAGAAAAGGGGATAAAGAGAAATAGAAGGAGATAGAATGAGTGGGTGGTGGTGGTAGTGCACGATTGTTCGCGAATCGCTTTAATAATTTAGCTGTTGATTAAACGCCGCGGCACGGGGTTCATTTTTACGCGTGATTTATTCCACTGTAAAGCTCTCGACGCGTCGTCCTTCGTTTCTCGAACGAATGAACGGACGGACGTTTAACACGGATTTCTCAATATCGTTTATCGCTCTTTCTATCATAAATTCTCACCCTATTCACTATCTCTTTTTTTTTTTATCTATTTTCACCTTCCTTTTTTATCCCTTCCTCTTTCCCTCTCTTTCTTTCTTTACCTTTCTTTTTTTCCCTCTTTGTTTTTTTTTTTTATCTATTGCTTTCTCTTACGTGCGCAAAAGGCGACGCAATTACGCGTGTTTTTCTTCCTTTCGCTCGAGATAATATCGTTTCCCGGACCCTTAAAATACACGACGAGCCAGCCAGTCAGCCCGTTATGCGAAACTTCCTTCCCTTCTTTGTTACAAGGGAAAAGACGTTCCAGTTACTCTTCCCCTCCTGCACCTCCCTATATTCTTCTTCCTCTTCTTCTTCTACTTGTTCTTCTTCTGCTTATTTTATTTTTCTTCCCTTTTTATTCCCCCTCCTATCTTCATCCGAACGAGTCATGAAAAACGCTAACGGAAGCATCGAACGCTTTTATCCCTCCACAAAATTAAGGAAGTTGCGGCACGGCTCACACGAAACAAGCAAATCTGTTTGTCTTTTGGATGTAATATTATATAAATATATACATACGCATATATAGATACATACATATATATGTGTTTATATTATGGGTGAACGAAAAAAGAGAGAACGGAGAGTTTAAACAACAAATAATACAATAAATAAATAAATAAATAAGTAAATAAAGGATCAGAAATTTATCTATCGAATAAATGTGTACTTTAAAAGAAAGTGTTTGGTTTAATGGGAAAAATATGGTCAAAAGAATGGGGGTTGGATAGAGGGGTCAATAAAAACAAAATCATATCGTCCAATAAATCAACAATTTGTACTTATTTGTGTATCCGTTAAAAAAAAAGACGTTTTTTAAACAAGACGACAACAACACTCACCACTTTGAGTTTCGCCTGGATCTCACGAAGTTTTCTCCTGGCTAGGACCTGTATGTGAGAAGAGACCTGCTTTCGTGTTCTCGTCTTACCGGTCCTTAATTTGATATAACGAGCGATCAGCTCGTTCCGACCTGCAACACAAAAGTCAATAGAATGCGTTTAGATGCATATATATATATATAAATTCATTAGATATTTCATAGATTAAATATCGTTTCAATTTGTCTATCTTTTTGAACTGGAAACTTCTTTAGAATAGGGAGTGATTTTAAAAAAGTGAAACGCAGCGGCAAGCGGCGGTGCAACGGAGCGGCGGGCGGCGATGTAACGGCCACGATATTTAGTAAGAAGAGAAAAAACGACAAACATATAGGATTGAGCTTGCGAGAGAATGAGACAGAATATAGCTATATAGTTTTTCCTATTCTCGGACTCCTCTTTATGCTCTGCTTCGTAGTTATCGTTCCTGGTTGTATATGTGTGTGTTTGTGTGCGACTATATACTACGAAGCGTAGACACATAAACAATAATGTCGATACTATACCTATTTGTAGGTAGGAGCGATAGAAGGGTAGAAGAATAAACAGAGATAAGCACGTAGGTATTCGACAGAAAAATAGGGTACAAACAAACCGACGGTCGAAATAAAGAAAAAAGGCGCGTGGTCTATTTTTTCTTACTAAACGTGTCATTTCTTTTCTATTTAAAAATGTTGTTCTATTTTATTGACAAATTAATATTAAATTCTTTATTTCGCAAATATTATAATTAATAATTATAAAAAATATAGAATATAATAATTGTATTGTCTGCAATCATTTACAAAAAAAAAAAAAAATGATTAAAAGATACATCAGAGAAAAAAAAATATCATGTGTGTAGATCACACGTATTAGAAGTGAAACCTTCAAAAAACTAAGTTTCGAAATAATGAGACGAATACAGATTATCAGGTGTAGGATAATTGTAGGATTTATTTCTTATAATATTATTATTATAATATTGTTACCACATTCAAAAATTATTTTACGTTTTATTGACATTAATACATAACATATTACACAGTAAGCAAGTTCTCAATTTAAAGAAATGAGACGAGTTACTTATGGTAACTAAACACCTCTCTGCGTGCACGAAATGCACGAACGCGTTCCGTAGAAATCTTTGAAACTTCCCTAATAATTTCTTTCTGCAGATTTAACGACACTGTTCGGCGTTAATTTACGATCGAGAGACACTTGGATCACAATTGACAATATCTCATTGCGAATCATCTGAATAGAAAATAAAAAATAATGTTACAAAAGTGATTTATTGAGATTATGTTTGTCTAGTATGAGTAGAAAGGATTAAGAAAAAAATATTTTGATTGGAAGCTATTTAATGACTTACGATGAACGTTTTCACTATTTCTAATTTAAATTTATTCTAAACTTATTTTAATATTTTATTATAAATAATAATTGAGTATTTATAACAATATTAATTTAATATAGAAATGAAATCTAATAAGTTTAGATATAAGTGAACAATATTTTGTCGTTGGCAAATATTTTGACGATGAACTTTTTTTATATCAGTAAGATTTTCACCATTTAAGGTAATGTATTGAGTATTTCTAAAAAATTGAATATTTATAATAGTCCTAATTAAATATAAAAATGAAATTTAATCGATTTAGATATAAGTGGACAATATTTAGTCGTTGGAAAATATTATGACGATGAAATTTTCCATCGGTAAGATTTTCACCATTTAATGTAATGTATTTTTAAATCGCATTTGAATACTTTCTATCGGTATATACAAGATAATTATAACTCGAATAGAGAACCAAGTCCAACAGATGGTCTGCGCGTATCTTCTTGGCAAGGGTCAAGGAGCCAATCGAGATTTTACGTGAGTTTCAACAGAACCCTTTCTCCATTTGCATTGAGGTCTGCTTTCGCTCTTTCTCTCTCTCTCTCTCTCTTTCTCTTTTACAGTCGTTCTCAATCCTAGCATACTATCACGTTCGTCTTTTCGTTTAATAATTATTATCGTTTAGAGATAAATTGAATCTAATAATACGGTGAATTATTCAAAATGACCGTGCGAAAACAAAAAGTGTGATTAAATTCGTTAAAATAACGTTACAATATTTTTTTCGATCAATTCAAAAAAGAAAAAAAAAAAACAACAGCACGAGATTATTTTGATTTTTATCCAATTAAATATTATTTATACAATCCTTCATAACTCTTTACTTTTTCAACGTTTCTCAGTAATCGTTAAACTTCGTCGTCAAATAACTTATAAGAGAATAAATATAAACTAAACACGATATTTGATTTCTAAGAAAACTGCATTTGCATACATGGTAGAAGAGTATGTCGCGTGAGTATTATAATGGACGCGTAATACCTTGGAAAATAAAAATAAAAAATAAAAAAAATAAAAAATATAAAAGAAAGAAAACTATGCTAGATCGTGCATGCAAAAAAAGCGACCACGAAAAGAGTACTTGCAGAGGAAGGTTAAAAAAAGAAAGAAAAACAGGTAGAGGAACAGAGAGAGAGAGATAGAGAGAGAGATAGAGAGAGAGATAGAGAGAGTAAGAGAGAGAGAGAGAGAGAGACACGCTTTTAATCGGCATAGTTGGGTAAACACGAAATACTCGGCCGACAACGAGCACGGATTTAAAGAGCATACAAGAGAGGGAAGAGAGAGGGGGTTGGTTGGCAAAGGCTAAAGGGGTGAAAGAGAGAGATACGCGTACACTCAAATTAATTCGAGCACTGCATTCGAGTTTTCAGTGGGTCGCGAAACGCACGTTTGGAACATACCCCCCTACCCCTACACCTACCCCGCCCACGCCCGATGCTGTCCGTTTGTTCCACTCGTAGCTACGATTATAAATGAAGAGAAATAAAACATGGCTCGCCGCGATTAAATGCGAGAGAGAAAGAGAATGAAAGAGAGAGAGAGAGAGAGAGAGAGAGAAAGCTTCGCACGAGCCCAGAACCGAGAATGAGGATATTAACGTTGGTTAACGCGCGTACGATTGTTCCCGTGAAACGAGTAGAACGATGGGAACTACCAAAGTTAAGAGATCATCGAATATAACAACTTTTGCTAAAACTTATTATAACTGTATTATAACGTATATTAATAAAAATATATATATTTTTATATTTATTCGTCTATTTTAATAATATAAATAAATTAATTTTTAAAACACGAAAGAATATTACAGATGTTATGAATAAAATTTAAAATACAAAAATAGAACGATGAAGTTAGGAAAGTTAAGAGATATCATGGAATACAATATGTTCAATAAACAGTCGGATCAATTCTAAATTAAATTGAAGATAGAAGTAAAAAAAAAAAAAAAAACAAATATTATAATTGGTATTAGAAATTGAAGATTTCTTTATATATTTTAATACTATATTCGATTAATTTTGAATACACAAAAGAATATAAACCATATAGTAATATAAACAATAAAGTATATTTATAATATTGAAATAATTTGTTTTTCATATCGAGATACGAAACTTTAGTTAAAGTTTTGTTATGAAAGTATGCAATGTATCATCATATTTTTTTGGTTCATATACTTGGAAAAACAAAATTAATTTGTTTTAGCTCGATAACAGTGACTTTTGATACGTATTGTATTTAAAAAGCGCAAAGAAAAACAAGTTATTAATAATATGACAGATTAATTTTTAATACACAAAAGAATATTATAAATGTTATGAAAAAAAAAAACATGTTTAATAATCAACTGGATCACACAATTCTAAACTAATTTAAAGATAAAAGTAAAAAAAAAAGAAAAATATTATAAACGGTATTAGAAATCTAAGATGTTTGGGATAATCGATAAAATAACGAGGGATTCGATGATAGGGGTAGGAAAAGAGGTTGTGGTGGTCTAGGTGGGCGTTAGGAGAAAAGGATAAAGGAGTGCAAAAGGGGGAAAAGGGAGAAGCCGAAGCATCGGGAGGAAAATATTCGAGATTCCAGGCGAACCGCGTGATGACTCAATTTTGCAAAGACCTTTAAATGGCTCGCTATGAACCACGCGCCATTGCTGAACGAGCGAGCGCGTTCCTTCTCTGTTTTTGAAGGCCGAACATTCTTCGATGAGAGAGAGAAAGAGAGAGAAAGAGAGAGAAAGAGAGAGAAAGGAGAGCTCGGTTACGATGGTTTAAGGTACCTTGAGATACAATGCTGGATACAAAGGACTCTTTCTCGAACTTTTGTCTTTTATCTTCGCGAAAATTTGAATAATTTATAACTAGGTTAACGAGACACAAAAATTTAACAATAAAATTAAAAAAAAAAAATAAAAAAAAATATTACATGTATATGTATGTAAATAATTAAAGTGATCAGCTTAAAGTATGAAAGAAAGTAGTATTAGATATTTCAATTGGATAATAATAATATGAATTTACAATAAACCAATAGTTTAAGGTATATGACATGAAAATTTGATATGTGATTAGATCCGATAACAAAAAAACGTTTTAATTTTAAAGTAAAGGAAAAAATAAGAGCAAAGAGCATTATGTTATTGAAAGAAAAATTGATTAAATATTTAATCTCATTTTTAATTACTTGCACCTATTGTGAATTCATATGCATACTAATGTCATTTTACAAAACTACTTGTTTTAGCGTATAATAAAATTCTTTTTTTTCTTAAATCTACAATTTTCACGATTTAATTGAATTATATAATTTAATACTGACATATACACGATGCGTATATATGTAGATATATATGTATATTACTCACCAGCAGTACACACGAATTCGTACACACGTGTATATAATTTGCATAACTAACTAAAAAACGCACACACACAACACGCACACGCGAAAGTAAATTTGATAACTTTTCTAATAACGCTGTATAACATCTCGACTTGTCGAAGAATACTGACAATAAAGTATGATAACAACTACATATACCGAATCACCTTTCAAACGAACACGAAAGTCAATGTGTTTACAAATTCGACAAAGAGATTCTTAATAGAATAAAAACAATGTCGATTGAATTTAAATACCTGCCGAGTATTGGGATATGCTTACATATAAATAACAAAACTTTCACGATCGAGAGTTCGT